CCACTAGCTATCTATTTTACATTTGGTAGTGTATATATGTCCATGCCGCTCTCTCACTTCGTCCCAGCTTACCCTTCCCCCTCCCTGTGTCCTCAAGTCCATTCTCTAGTAGGTCTGTGTCTTTATTCCTGTCTTACCCCTAGGTTCTTCATGACATTTTTTTTTCTTAAATTCCATATATATGTGTTAGCATATGGTATTTGTCTTTCTCTTTCTGACTTACTTCACTCTGTATGATAGACTCTAGGTCCATCCACCTCGTTACAAATAGCTCAATTTCGTTTCTTTTTATGGCTGAGTAATATTCCATTGTATATATGTGCCACATCTTCTTTATCCATTCATCCGATGATGGACACTTAGGTTGTTTCCATCTCCGGGCTATTGTAAATAGAGCTGCAATGAACACATTCAGAACTATTTTTTAACTTTTTTTATTGTGGTAAAATATACACAACATAAAATTTATCATTTTTAAGTGCATTTTACGTTTACAGTAGTGAGCAACCATCACCACTACCCATTTCCAGAACTTTTAATCCTCCCAAACCCCTTAAACAACAGCCCCCGTTCCTCCCTTCCTCACCAGCCTCTATTCTGTCTCTTTGAACTTGCCTATTCCAGGCCCCTCACATAACTGGAATCACACGATATTTGGCCTTTCGTGCCTGCCTTATTTCACCTGGCATAATGTTTTCAAGTTTTCATCCATGTTGTAGCGTGCATCTGAACTTATTCCTTTTGAAGACTGAGTAATATTCCATTGTATGGGTAGACTGCATTTTGCTTATTTGCTAGTTTCTCTGTTCACCTGCTGGTGGACACTTGGGTTGTTTCTGAAGCACTCCTTCTTGAATGGTAACCCAGCCGCACCTCGGATTGGGACCTGAACCCACGAGCTCTGACTTAGGAGGGGTCTCGAACCCACTGGCTTTTAATTGAAACGGCTCACCTGGTGTCAGGACTTACTGAAGCTCAGGTTCTTCTGTCTCATTGCACAAAGAATTCAGCGTGAGGCAAAGCAATGGGCACAGGGTGAGTTTTTTAGCATAAGATGCTTGTGAGAGAGACAAGCGGGCAGGCAACGGAGCACAGCCCCGAGAAGAAAGAGGGATACATTTTTATAATCAAAGCAAAAGTAGGGAGGGGAGAAGACCACCTTCTTCCTCATTCTTGGGCAGACGTCAAGGCTTACATCATTAGTTCCTCCTTTGACCCTACATGGTTTAACCGGGACTGTCATGGCACTATTTAAATCATACGTATGTTAGCAAAAGAGTGGTAACATATACTAAATATAGTAATTCATCTCAGTTTCTTTCCCCTTTCACCTATATTCCTGTCTTGGTTACATGCAGAGATGCTACTCTTTAAGGACCATTAACTCCCTGACTTCATGTAACAAGATTCAGACCCCATATCTATTGTCTTGTGTTGTAACTATCAGGGTTTGTGGCTTGAGTGTGTCTGGCGCTCAGATGCACCTGGTCTTCCTTCAAGGTAGTGCTGACTGTTGCTAGGTTACTGGATTCTTTTCTTGAGTGGTCATTAGTTTATAACAGTCTCCCAAACTCCCTTCCTCCCTGTCTTTAATCCCCTAGTGGGATTTCTAAACTATTTAATTATCCTTCTCTATCCCTCTCATTTCCACCTTTTGACTATTATGAATAATTGCTTACACCAGCAATTATTATGAATAATTGCTTACACCATAAAGATGCATATTTACGATGAGACATAACTATATTATATTTTGCTACATAGTTCCAAATAGTAATGCATAGGACCTAAAAACTATAATAAAAAGCAAAAGTATAAACAAACCACAAAAACAAAAAAATCACTTTAAGTTCAAAGGATGCATCATTAAATAAGCATTTGCTGAAGGCCTGGGATGAGCCAGGCACACACCCTGCGTTTCCAACCATCTCAGGAGGGTCCTCCCCAGTTGGGGCGGATGGGGGTGCAGGGGAGACAAGGCCCAGGCGGGTAGCTTTGCCTGCAGGCAGATGTGGATGGCGCTGCAGGAGAGGTACAGGCAAGGTCTTGGGGCCTTCGGAGGCAGGGGCAGAACCCGTCCGTGGGGCTCTGAGGAGGTGGCAGATCTGGGGAGTAGGTGAGGCACGGACTATGGTAAACTCCTAGCTCTGCTCGCTCTTTGCGGAACCCAGCTAGTATTTTTCAGTGTCTTGGGCCTGCCCTGAGGGCTTTGGGTTCCTCTACTTTACATTACTCACAGCTTATTAAACAGTCTGAACGCTGCATTTAAGCAGCCCTGTTGCTCTGATTCAGAGTGCCTCGGATTTACCTGGTCTGGTCCTTTGGCGTGTCTTAGGGCAGCCACGCTCCAGTCAGCCTTGTGGAAGTGCTGCATCTCTTTGGGTGATCTGGAGCACAGCGCTTGATGGACTCGGACCCGGGATCACACTGTCTGTCCAGGTGTAGCACCTGATGCAGGGAGAGGGAGCAGCCCCAGCTCTCCCGGAGCTGTGTGACCTTGGGGAAGTTACTCCACCCCTCTGATCCTCTTGTGCAACGTGAGGGCATTGGGTGACCTCTATGGCCCTTTCCAGCTGCTGTAATTTTATGATTGCCCTATTATGATTTAAGTACCTCCCTCTATCACTCTCGGAGTGAATGACTCAGCCGTCTGAGAGTTTCACTATTGTTTTTAAGGAAGCCTGGTTATTTTGCCGTCACCAGCAAGGGTATGTCCCTTAGGTAAACAATCTGACAGTCTTGATCCAGCTGGAGTTAGGCTGACACTCACTGGAGTTCTTCACGCTGTATCCTTTCAGTGAAGCAGCTCGGACACCGGCTGGCCACAGGCATCCGGAGCCATGTCAGAACTTTGAGCGAGGCCTGGTGACAGGGACCGGCTGTCACCCACCAGTCTTCCCAGCTCGGCTTCAAGATGCTAAGCCTGAAGCTCCCCAGGCTGTTCAGCATAGAACAGGTGCCCCAGGTACGTGCTGTTGTTCCGGTGGTTGAGTTCCAGGCTGGGACTAGGGCTTGGCCTCTGCAACATGGCGACTGCTATGTCTTCAACCAGTCTGCTCTGTGGACACCCACTCTCTTCAAGGAGCCCCTCCCAGACTCCCTTTGGGGAATTCGACCTCCTGTTTCCCTCACCTACACCAAACCTGGAAACGGAAGTGATCCTAAAACCGTTTAAGTTGTAGCCCTTCCCAGTGACATCTGTATTTTTTCCCGAAGCAGAGTCATTATTGAGACTACTGATTCAAGCTACGGAGGTGAAGCTAGCAGCCCTTGTCTGAGTGACAATTTTTTAAGGACGCTCCTGTGGGTGCTTGAAAGCAGGCCAGGGGCAGAGTCACCTCAGAGTGTGGCTTTGTGGTTGTTCTCATCCTTTGCAGGAGGCCCAGCCCAGGTGTGTGTTGAGGCGATGAAGAGAGTTATTGATCCGCCTGTGCCTGGGTGCTCAAGGGCAGCTACCCCAAAACACCGGGGATGCATTGATAATCTGCGTTTTTCATAAGCCTTAGGCGAGGTCATGCTGCTTGTGAGCTGCGCCAGTGGTGCACCTCCTCCTTCCCTTGCAAAGTAAACGTCATCTCATTACACCCTTGTTTCGGTGTTATGTTTCCTTCCTCTTTGAACAAGAATAACTGTTGTTTCATGGATGTTTCATCTGGAGGATGTCAGGGAGGGAGGGGAGATCTCCCTTCCACCCAGCCGACCGCCAAGCCCTTAGACTTTCCCCAGAAAAATAAATCCCAAATGATCTCAGCATCATGAATGGAAGGTTAAGAGGAGACAAACCACAAAACCCTCTTCCTGAAAGCCTGCGCGGCTAGGTGATGCCAGCAAGATGGCATCGGGGGAAAATCAGAAGGATGCAGAGCTGTTGAAGGGCAGAGATGAGGATGCGGCAGGTAACAGACACACTGGAAATGAGACCAGGTTCCCACAATGCTGTTGGGCAGGTGGCCCACCTCTGTTCTCACAAGGCTGTAGACATCTCTTCCTGGTGCACTGCCCCGGTTGGTCCTACTCACGGAGAACTAGTGGCTGTGATTAGCGGGGACACGGTGATCTTTTGATTCATTCACTCGTGACATTTTTATTGACTGCCTACTATGTGCAAGGTGTTACTCTGTGCGGGGCCCAGAGGAGAATCACATACAAATCCTGGCCTTAAGGGGCTCTGTGTTGGCTGGGAAGATTTAAAATTGTTCAGGAGCACTTCCGTTGCAAAGTGGATTAGGGTGTGTGCTCAGAGAGGGACAGATGGGTTCAGAAGAGGGATTGGTCACTTCCATCATGGGGGAGGAGGGAATCAGGGATGTCTCCACAAAGGGGGCAATCTGTAAGATTGGGTTTGAGGATGGGTAGAATTTGGGGGGGTGGGGAGAGCACTCCAAGTGAAGAAATGGCATGAGTAAAGGCCTGGAGCTGGGAAATCAGGGGGCAGGTGTGGGAACTCTTGGGGTGGGGATTATGGGTATCTGCTCGGATATCTCTCTGGGAGTTTTGGTCAAGGTTGGGTTCAGAGACTGTGTCCAGGAAAGAAGTGAAGGAGAGAGAATGGTCTCACTGGGGACCTTGGGTAAACTGCTAGGATTCTGAATGTATGGGGGTTCTGAGGGTGAGGACCGGACCGCCCCTGAGGGCTGAAGATTAATGTGTCTTCTCTGTCCGGTTTTTCATAAATGATGGAGATGACAATTTTCTCTTTAGTAAAATGGCACCAGTCAGAGGCAGAGAACCAACGTCACACGTCACATCCGTTTACTTCAGAACCTTCCTTGGGCTCCTGGGTTTCCCAGCATCACGCCCAAGTTTCATGCGGCCACAGAGGAAACACAGTGGCTCTGCCTGCCCGGAGGGTAGTTTTATTTGAGGATTTAGTGGGGGAGGGGGAAAGGCATTTTTAAAATATTCAAACAGATGCAAACATATTAAGGAGTAAATGCATAATTTTCATGAGTATTTAAAATAGGAGACTTCATAGAAATATTAAGTTTACTTTTGGTGGGCTCTGTGGGTTCCAGTACTTGGTCTGCAGAATGACCTTGGGCAGAGTGCCCTTAGTCTCCCTACCTCAGTTTCTGCATCTGTAAAATGGGGTGGTGCTAGAATCTCTTCCTCGGGTAATGGTAAAGATTAAATGAGGTAACCTATGGGAAGTGCCTGGCGTATGGTGAAGTCAGTAATGTTGGCCGTTATTATTATTATCAGCTCTCCTGTGCACTCCGCACTTGGAGGGGTGGAGTGTGTTGGGAGGAGACGTTAAGCAGCCCCTCTCACAGACTCCCACCCCAGCTCCCTGCCTGGTATTCACAGGCCCAACCCCTACCCACCTCCCCCACTGTTTTTCATCTGTAAACCCTCTTCTCCAGCCACACTGGTGCTCTCTCTAGACTTCCCACCAGATTGGACATTCACTTCTCTTGACCTCTGTTTGAAGAAGGGTTACCTCCCCTGCCCCTCCATCCGCCTTTCTGGCCTCCTTCTCCATTGAGCTGCAGGTGCCCTCTCCCTTCCCTGAGCCCCTTCAGCTGTTGGTTGGCACCTCTGCAGGCTGCCCTATACGGCCACCTCTCCCTTCGTATATCAACCAGCTGTGTGGCCTGGGCCACTTCCCTACCCTCTCTGAGCCTCACCCATCAGAGGAGAGTGGGGCACCGCCTCTTGGCATCCTCAGGGTTCTAATTCTGGTGCATTCCTCCTAATGGACTACTCACAGGAAAGGACAGTTCTCCCTTCCCGTAGAAGGTAGGACTTGGGTACGTGCCTCACAATTTCAAGTCTCCCTGTGTCTAATAACAGACCTGGGTACATTAGGGAGTTGTGAAAGATGTGAACAAACAGCTCAAGGAATGGAATAAATATCTAGGTGTTGATTCCTACACAGACCCAACCTAGAGACAAACTGGGAAGTCCAGACAGCAAGTTAATATGGAACATGGCATGACACTTGGCCAGGAAACAAGAGTATTTTGTGTCAAATTGAGAATCTTTTGTTAACGGTAGCCTTGGCCCCCAGGCTACAGGTAAACTCACCGCATTGTCCTGGAAGCGTTAATTTAGGGGCACAGGCAGGAAGATTCCAGAGGTGCTACAAAGCATTTCCCAGCCTGGCACTGGAGCTCTGCCGCTTACTGTGGGAATTTGGACAAGACGTGTAACCTCTCCAAGCCTCAGTTTCCTTATCTGTGAAATGGAGATAATATCTGTCTCACAGAGCTATTGTGAAGATCCAAGAAAAATGAAATAGAGTAGTGGGATAATTATGAAGGAGCAGAAGCAGAGCCAGATCAGTGGCTGGGAGTGGTGTTGGGTAGGTGGGCTTGGGCACCTGAAACAGGAAGCCATCTCAATAGGCAACTGGTTTCTCCAGCCGAGAATTTCTCAAGGTGGGCGCTTGGATCACCACGAGAATACCTGGGAGCTTACGAAAGGGAGTCATGATTGCAGGCTTTTTGTATTGTTCTTGATTTTAATCCAAATGAATGCTTTCAACATTTCATCATTTAATATAATGTTAGCTCTTTCTGTGTGTATGGGTGTGTGTGTGTGTTTGTGTGTGTGTGTGTATGTGTATAAATAACCTTTATCAGGTTAAGAATATTCCTTTCTATCCCTAGTTTCCTAGGATTTTTTTTTCCCCTCTAATCAGTAATAAATTCTTTTTTCTATCAGTATATCTTTTTTTTTTAATTAATTTTATTTATTTATTTTTGCTGTGTTGGGTCTTCGTTTCTGTGCGAGGGCTTTCTCTAGTTGTGGCAAGCGGGGGCCACTCTTCATCGCGGTGCGCAGTCCTCTCACCATCGTGGCCTCTCTTGCTGTGGAGCACAGGCTCCAGACGCGCAGGCTCAGCAGTTGTGGCTCACGGGTCCAGCCGCTCCGCGGCACGTGGGATCCTCCCAGACCAGGGCCCGAACCTGTGTCCCCTGCATTAGCAGGCAGACTCCCAACCACTACGCCACCAGGGAAGCCCCCAGTATATCTTTTGAGATGGCCATATATGATTCATTTAAGTTATTAACGTGGTGAATTACATTGATTGATTTACTAATGTTAAACCAACCTTGCATTTATTTATTTATTTTATTTATTATTTTTATTTATTTATTTATTTTGGCCGCACCGCGCAGCATGCGGGATCTTAATTCCCTGACCAGGGATCAAACCTGTGCCCCCTGCAGTGGAAGTGTGGAGTCTTAACCACTGGACCGCCAGGGAAGTCCCCAACCTTGCATTTAAATATTACTTGGTCACGATGGAGTATCTTTTTAATCTAATGCTGAAATCAGCTGATCGTTTGTCTAGGATCCTTAAATCTATTTATTGAATTGGCCTGAAATTTTTCCTTCTTATACTGCCCTCCCCTGGATTGGGGATTAAGATGGTGCCAACCACAAATGAGTTGGAGAGTGTTGCCTATTTATTCTATGGAAAATATATGTAATTTTTTTTTTTTGCAGTACGCGGGCCTCTCATTGTTGTGGCCTCTCCCGTTGCGGAGCACAGGCTCCGGACGCGCAGGCTCAGCGGCCATGGCTCACGGGCCCAGCCGCTCCGCGGCACATGGGATCCTCCCGGATCGGGGCACGAACCCGTGTCCCCTGCATCAGCAGGCGGACTCTCAACCACTGCGCCACCAGGGAAGCCCAATATATGTAATATTTGTATAATATTAGAATTATACATTCCTGACAGCTTGGTAGAATTTACCTGGAAAATTGTCTGAGCAGGGCCACCATGTTGCCCACCCAAGGGAGCATCGTTTATCCCTTAGTCTACGTGAGTGACAGACTGTGGAATTGTGCGAGGAGCAACTCGATGCTACAGCTGCATTTTCTCTGTAGAAAGTTCTTTTTATAACAGTTTTGTTGAAATATAATTCACATACCATAACATTCTCCCTTTAAGAGTATATAGCTCAGTGGGTTTTAGTATGTTGACACACACAAAGTATGTTGTACGAAACCATCG